TGCTGTACACCCAGCAGGACACACATTCTTTTCAAATGCACATGGAACATTCACTAATACAGACCATATGCTAGACTATAAAACACACTGCAATATATTTAAAAGTACTTAATTCATACAGAGAATGTCCTCTGACCAAAATGAAATTAAACTAAAAGGTTTACTAAAATAATACCTGAAAAATCTCCAAATATTTGGAAATTAAACAATACAGTTGTGAATAGCTCATGGATCAAAAAAAATAGAAGGAAAGAAAACACAGTACAAATTATCCTTCCTTTGTACAGGTCCCAATATGCACAGATTTCAATTATAAAAAAATAACACCAGTCCCCCAACAACATGGTTCAAATTTCAGCTACCACATTTCTGTTATCACAGTATATTAACTGCAAGCAATCCCATAAAACATAAACTTCATTGTTAGCACATTAGTCCATGAATAATTATATAAATAATATCATGTGTATCATGATCCGTGACCAATCACATCCCTTCTTCTAAAGGCTGCTGGTGATTGGTTGCTGTGCATCTCATAGTTCACACACATATAGTAAAGCTGTTTCCTCTTTGTCTCCCATTGATAAACTTCCATGGCATTTTACAAAAATCTATGACCAAAAGAAATTGGCCAGAAAAGAAGAAAGTGCAGCAAGCAAACAAAAAGTTATAAATGTTAGAAGCGAAACATTTGTATTGAATGTAAATGGAATTACAGAAAAAAATAGCTGATACAGGAATGTTAATATTGTCACTTTTTGAGAAACTAGTTACTCAGTCAAAGAACTTAATGAAAGTAACAAATGAAGAGAGCATCTATGATGAGAAAGATGAAGATGTGTCCCAAAATAAGTGATGCCAGGCAAAACTTTACATGAAGGGAATTCTCAGATAGTTCACACCATTAAAAATGCAAAGGATAAGATGCTGGAAATTGATTTAAACTTAGAAAGAAGTCGGACAATTCACAGAGGCATAGAAAAGAGGCTTCCTTCGTATCATAAATTACACAATGAGAAGGCATCAAGCATTGCCCAAACTACTCCGGATAACATCTTTTAAACTGTGTAACATATACTTAGTATGAAATGTACCATTTTAACTATTTTAAAGTGTACAGTTGAGCTGCACTGCCTACATTCATCATTATTGTGCAGCTCTCGCCACCATCCATCTCCAGAACTTCATCATTTTCCCAAACTGAAAGTCTACATTCATTCTCTCAAAGTTGTTCGTGGGTTTTTTTCCCTCACAGAGCTTATTGGGTTTATAACTGGAGGAAGTCACATGTGTGCAAAATGCAGCCAACACTATCCCAAAGCAGAGTCAGAACTGAGGGCTAACTGATATATTTTTACAAAGACCACAAAGTACTTTAGTTCTTAATGTTTCTAATATTTTAAATTATAGTATTAAAATGTTTCACCATATGTATCATTCTCCTACACATTTATAAAGGACATTGTTTTTAATGTCATGATAGAGAAATGTAAAAGGTCACAGAACGTGTAATTGTTTGTATCTATTATGAAGATCACTTTGCATGATTTCAGCGAGCATCATCCTTTTTATGGTTCTTTCCTACAATGAAAAACAAGGACCATCTTGTGAGGTATACATAAAAATTTGTGAGGTGCATCAAAGTTCTTTAAAGGAGAATTCAAAGTCCTGCATACTTAGATTAGAAAAGAAGATCCTAAAGTCAACTAAGAGTTCACCTAAATCCAGAAAAAGAAGAGCAAACTGAACCCAAAGAAAGGAAGTCATAAAGAGCAGAAATGAGTGTGTAGAAAAATGCAATAAACAACAGAGAAAAATAAGTGAAATCAAATGACCCAGGAATAGTATTCCTAAGATTTATGTGAAAGAAATAAAAACATATGCCTGTGCAAAGATTGATACCCTAATGCTCATGGAACCTTTATTCATTATAATCCAAACCAAAAACAAGAGAAATAGTCATCAAGGGGTGAATGGAAAAATAAATTGTGGTATATCCATTCAATGGCATGCCACTACTCTGCAGTAAAAAGGAATAAACTACAAGTTTATACAACAACACAAATTTTAACATTTTGAAAGCATTATGCTGTGTGAAAAATAGCCAGATGCCAAAAGGTACATCTGTTATAATTCTATTTCTGTGAAAATCTGGAACAGGAAAGTCTAATCTGTATTGATTGAAAGTAGATTAGTGGTTGCCTGGTACCTGGGGTGAGCTGAGGGGATTGACCACCAAAGGGCATGAAGAAACTTTTTAGGGTGATGGAAATGTTCTATGTTTCATTTGTTATAGTGGTTACTTAAGTGTCTATATTTGTCAAAACTTGCCAAACTAGGCATTTAATGTGTGCGCATTTAATTGAAAATAAAATAAAAAATAATTACGAGGAATACCAAAATGTGAATTTGAAGAATATGTTTACGTAACCTTGAATTCTTGTGAACCAAGAGTGCAGATGGTGGTATCGGGGTGGGCTGGGAGTTAGCATGGACATGTTTACAGTGATGCCTGTTTGTTTTCAGATGTGTGTGTGTATCTGTGTATGTGTGGGGGCTGTGTGTGTGTGTGTGTGTGTGTGTGTATGTGCAGTGATGGTGATAGCAAGAGAGCCTTCATTGTATACCTATTTCCAACACCAAAATTCAGTCAACAGTAAAAAAAAAAAAAAAAAAAAAGAATTCTGCATCATCTACCTTAAATGCATTGGCACTGAGAACTGAGTCATATTCTCTGATAATGCGTAATTTACAACCTAACGCTCTACAACCAAGTGAGTTTCTCTCTCTCCAAGTTCCCTAACAACAAGCCACCTACTTCCTGGGTTTTTTTTTTTCCAGGAACTAGGTCTTTCAGGCAACTGAAGGGTTATAGGGTTATAGTCACCTCCTCCCCACCCCTCCCCACCCATCTCCACACAGCATTGTACTTCCTGGGGGAATTCAGACCCAACCTGAACTAGATTTTGGAAGCCTGACAGACAGTTCCTTCACCACCTGTGGCCTGAGAGTATGTAGGGCTGCCACTAGCAACCTGAAACAGAATGGAAGGTGGAGGGCCCCACAAAATATCCCAGAAGGTGCTCTATTTCCCACTTTGAAAGATGTCACAGTTTTCTTTCAGCCTTGGCCCAGGAAAAAGAATAATAGGCTTTATTGCATTTAACTGGTCATCTCTTCTGGGACCAAACCTCTTGCTCAGCAAACCGATGCCAAGCCCAGTGGGTCAGACAATCTGCCTGGCAGCATCCCTTCCAGAAGACTTGGCCAGGCTCAGCTTCTTCCAGGACTGGACATCTGGGTTTTCTGCTGTGGAATTTTGTGGAAATTGCTGGGGCCCTTCTTCACCAATGTCCGTTCAGTGTTGCTTCTGTTCATTCTTCCATATAGCACTGTTTGTAAAGACCAGAAGCTGCCTACCTTCTCTTGTTAAGCACCTTCTTCACAAGTTACTTCTTTTAAACAGCTGCACATGATATTCCAAAGTTGCATTCATATAGCATCCTTTTATGCTGGATGTTACAAATGATTGGCCTTGGCAGAAGTCACAGAACTTCTTGTTTTCTTAAGCTGCAACTTACAGGAGGTTATTTCCTAGAGTAGAATAAACCACAGCCAGCCCTTCAGTCCATACACTTTGGCACTCAAGTTGGTGACATCTAATACGAAACATTCAACAATAGTGCCCCAAACCAAAACAGCTCTTCATTATTTTTTCCATCTCCAAGGTTTAGGATGTGATTGTGCCATATGAGAAACACTGGCTTCCTTGCCTGAGGCTGAATCTAGAATAGACAATGCTCACCCCACAGACAGATCAGCAATACAGAGATATCTACTGAGAGGCTTCTCCTCCTTGCCCATCTACAGCTTCCTGTTGGGGATCCCAACTTGATTTCCAAGGTCTCTGATTCACCAATCAAACCAAGTCCACTTTGATCATTTCCAATTCCCTCTCACACATCCTTGGGACTGGATAGAGACAGGCAGACGAACAACTTACATATTAGAGCTAAAAACTCAAGATTCTAAAGTTAATCTAAAACATAAATGCATTTTTTTTTTCACTGCAGCAGAATTCTTTTGCTCCCATAAATGCTGGCCAAGAAAATCCAAGTAAAATCTCTGGGGAGAATAGTCGAATATCACAACCAGAGCCACATTATCAAGAATGAGGCTGACCTGAGTTATATTACAGATGAAGAACCTTATAGGATTGATGCCTGTTATCAGATCAGAATCACATTGTAAGCCAAAGCCTATTTGAGATGTGTGTGGTTAACACTCGCTGCTAGGGTGCTCTTATGCACCATTCAGGAATAAAAATAGGGTGCTCTCAGCTCATGTGTCCTCAGGGCACCAGGGCAAAATACACAAGCATGGCACTGGTATCTGTCCAGAAATGAAGAGAAGTTGCTAGAAAATGGCCAAGCCAATCAACCGCGATCTTGGACGTATTTTTTAATTTGTTTCCAAGTTTAATTGGAAGGTAGAAATGGTAGTTTCACCCAACTGTCAAAGTGAAACAACTTAACATGCACCTTTGACCTATTGCCACCTAGTTTGATACAAGGCAAGACGGAAAAACTTAGAATAGAAATCCCACATTTCTAGCGTGTGTACCCCCCGTCTGATCTAGATAGAGAAAGTGGGTGGGAGGGTTGGGAGTGGGGGTAGAAGTTCCTCTTAAACTCAAACTCCCCAGAAACTTTTTCCTGCAGTTGTAAAAGTATTGGTAATTTTTAATAAGTTTACTCTGTGTTTTACAAACATTACTCTTGAGAGCTTCATCTCACCAGAAGCAGAAGTATCCAGCATTGTGGGATAACAAGGCCCCCGGGGTATTTCCAACCAGACTGGTAATGAGAAGCCATAGAATCACGTAACAAAGGAACCATCATTCTCATGCATTACCTAACAATTGCTGAGCCCCAACATATTCAGCCAGAATAAAGAAGCTTTACAGAACAATGTGAAGACTCACTGACCCCCAAACAGACCTCACAAATTGGCAATTCCGTTGGTGAATCTGGTCCATAATTTCGTAGGTGCAGAAAAGATGTTGCAAGTGTCCCAGGATTGGCTAGTCTGGAGATGCAGAGTCACTCAAAGCCCACAAGATAATGACGTCTAAAACTGGAATGCAAATTGAGAATTTTACACTCATGGTGGCCTGAGTAGCCTGTCCCTTTCTTTTAAACAAGCTCCATTAATATCAGATTGCTTAATTTATTTTATTATTTATTTACTTACTTTTTTGAGATGGAGTCTCACTCTATCACCCAGGCTGGAGTGCAGTGACTTGATCTAGGCTCACTACAACCTCCACCTTCTGGGTTCAAGTGATTCTCATGCCTCAGCCTTTAGAGTAGCTGGGACTCAGGTGCATGCCACCATACCCAGCTAATTTTTGTATTTTTAGTAGACATGGGATTTCGCCATGTTGGCCAGGCTGGTCTCAAATTCCTGGGCTCAAGTGATCCATCCACCTCAGCCTCCCAAAGTGCTGAGATGATAGGTGTGAGGTACCGCACCCAGCTAGAGTAGGTATTAGGCACGGAGTACCAAGAAAGGGAGTGAGGGCACAATGCATGACACCCTGATGGCCTGTCATGTCTATTTTCTTTTTTTCTTTTTTTTTGACGTGAGTCTCCCTTTGTCGCCCAGGAGTACAGTGGCGTGATCTTGGTTCACTGCAACCTCCACCTCCAGGTTCAAGCAGTTCTGTCTCAGCCTCCTGAGTAGCTGGGACTACAGGCACACGTCACCATTCCTGGCTAATTTTTGTATTTTTGGTAGAAACAGCGTTTCACCATATTGGTCAGGCTGGTCTTGAACACCTAACCTCATGATCCGCCTGCCTCTCCCTCCCAAAGTGCTGCAATTACAGGCACGAGCCACCGCGTTCGGCCCATTTCTAAATTAGAGATAGACTTGCCAAACCAAATACATAGTTACTGGTAGAGTACCTTCTCAGCCACATGCTTTTGTGAGTCTCTTTTTCATTGGTGTCTGCTGTTGATTAATTCCCTATCTGGTTGACATTTCTTTTTTCTGTGTTCCTACCTTCCATTAAGTTTACCAGTAGTCATTCAATAGTTCCTCTCTATGGCGGTGCTGATCTGACAAGCTGCTTTCTGAATTTCACTCAAAAAACATAGTCTCATTTCAAGTTGTTAGAGAGCATTTCCCCAAGTACCGCCTACATTCTGAAAGGATAAGAAGGTATCTGATGAAAACCTGCAAACCGTGTGGTTTGGTGATAGTCAGTGCCTCATGGGATGGGCAGAGCTTCAGAATAGGAGAGAGGAGGGGTCAGTCACCATGATGATTTTCTATTTGTGGGGTTTTTTTTTCCTTAAAGGAATATTTGGCTGCAGGATCACTAAGGTGTGACGATAGAAGAAGGAAGAAGGAAAGAAAAAAGATACTAATCAACACCTGCAGATTGGAGGTGTGGCAACCACAAGGTACCTCTTGATAGCTTCTGACTGAGTACAGTCTTTACTGAGCCCCTATCACATTCAGGGTACAGAGCTCTGCTCTATGAGGCTTTCAGGGAAATGAGGACAACTTGCCTGGCCAGTACATTAATTTCCCCTCACTGGTCTGGAATATCTAAAACTAAGGAGGGATACTACGGGAGATTAAGGGGACTGTTAGAGAAGGACTCCAGTGAGATAGAAGATAATCACCATCCAGCCTTCCATAATAGGACTTGGCAGCACATTACCTTTATGACCTTGCCTACTACCTTGACAAAAGACTGTCTCTGTGTCTTTATCTGCTCTTTAGCTTACAGATGAGTCTGCCTGACCAACCAGATTGCAGAGTTCTACATAAAGTAATTCAAGAACAGGAAGTGGGTTAGTGAAGGCCAGTGTGTGAGGTGGGGAAGGGGGACTGTTTCTTTCAGACCCCAGAGAAGTGGGAATAAGAAAAGGAGGCAGGTTGGGGAGGCAGGTGAGCCACATGAATGTCCCATTTGTCCTTTCCTGACTTTTGGCCTAGAGTAGGAGTATATCCTACTCTAATTTTTTGTTATTTTCCATAGTTATGCTTCTTATGGTCACTACTAAGGGAGACCAAAACACCTAATCCCCAAATATAAAGAACTGCTGAGCTGAAACTGTTAAGAAGAAGTAGATGCAGGAATGCTCTCTACCCTCTCTCTATTGGCCTGAAAGCAGGACATGGTGTTACAAAGATAAAAGGTATCTTCCTTCCTCTGCCCCCATCAGGGAGAACAAAGTTAAACACTGAACACAACTTTGGACGTTTATCGGCCTGAAAATGGTACCAAAGGAATCTGCATTTAAGACTTTACTAACGGGCCATTAATTTACCTTCCCCCAGACTGCCACCCCTAGAGACTCAATATCCTTTTCCTTTGTCCAGTTACTTTTCTAAAAATTTAGTCTTCCTTGATGAAAATGCTATGTGAGCTAGAATTCGAAACCACCTCTTTGAGAACTACTCAATCCCTGGGTGTCACCCATGTATATAGGAAATATACACGTTAATAAACTTCTGTTTGTTTTTCTCTTGCTAATCCTGTTACAGGGGTCAGAACCTATTGGGATTAAAGAAAAAAATTCTTCCTCTCCACCACGAACACTGAATTAACAAATACTAAACCATTGCTCTTAAGAGAAGTACAAAGTTGTGTTCCTGTGGGTCTCTGTTCACAGCAATTTTTTTCTTTTAAATGACTATTTTTAGAGTAATTTTAGATTCACAGCAAAGTAAAGCAGAAAGTACAGAGAACTACCATATACCACCTGCCCCTGCCCCTCCCTTTGCACAGCCTCCTCCACCATCCACATCCCTCACAGAGTGGTACATTTGCTGCAATTGATAAACCTACATAATCACTCGACATCCATGGTTTATTTTAGGGTTCACTCCTGGTGTTGTACATTCTATGAGTCATAGCAAGTGCATAATGACATACACCCACCATTATAGTGTTGTATTATACAGAGTATTTCCATTGACCTAAAAATTCTCTGTTCTTTGCCTATTCATCCCTCTCTTCTCCCTAATCCCTGGCAACCACAGATCTTTTCACTGTCTCCGTAGTTTATGTTTTGCCTTTTCCAGAATGTTATATGGTTGGAATCATACAGTATGGAGCTTTTCAGATTGGGTTTCTCTTAGTACTATGCATCTAAGATTCTTCAATGTGCTTTCATGGCTTCACAGATCCTTTCTAAAAAGCACTAAAAAGTGCTGACAAATATTCTAATGTTTGGATGTGCCACAGGGTTTTAGATTGTGTCCTCCCAGAATTTATACGTTGAAGCCCTAACCTTCAATGGGACTATATTTGGTGATAAGGCCTTTTAAGGGGGTAATTAAGGTTAAATTAAGGTCTTACAATAGGGCCTTCATTGGATGGGACTGGTGTTCTTTTTTGAGATGGAGTCTCACTTTGTCACCCAGGCTGGAGTGCAGTGGCACAAGCTCAGCTCACTGCAACCTCCGCCTAGCGGGTTCAAGCAGTTCTCCTGCTTCAGCCTCCCGAGTAGCTGGGATTGCAGGCACCCGCTACCAGGCCCTGCTAATTTTTTGTATTTTTTAATAGAGATGGGGTTTCACCATGTTGGCCAGGCTGGTCACGAACTCCTGACCTCAGGTGATCCACCCACCTTGGACTCCCAGAGTGCTAGGATTACAGGCGTGCGCCATCTCACTCGGCTAGAACTGGTGTTCTTATAAGAAGAGATATCACAGAGCTTGCTGTCTCAAGAAAAGGCCACGTGAGGATTTAACAAGAAAGCGGCCATCTGCAATCCAGGAAGTGAGCCCTCAACAGAACTCAAATCATCTGGGGCCTTGATCATGGACTTTTAACTGCCAGAACTGTTAGAAAATAAATTTTTGTTGTTTTAGCCACTCAGTCTGTGTTATTTTGTTATGTTGGCCTGAGCAAATACACACAGTTTATCCATTTACTTAATGAAGGTATCTTGAGTGCTTCTTAGTTATGGCAATCATGAATAATGCTGTTATAAATATTCATGTACAGGATTTTTGTGTGGACATAAGTTTTCATCTCATGTGGGTAAGTACCAAAAAGTGAAACTGTTAGATCATATGGTAAGAGTGTGTTTAGCTTTGTAAAAAAGACTGCCAAACTGGCCTTACCATTTTGCATTCTCACTGGCAATGAATGAGAGTTCCTGTTGCCCTGCATCCTTACAAGCATTTGGTGTTTTCAGTGTTCCAGATTTGGGCCATTCTAATAGGCATGTAGTGGTATTGCTTTTTTTGTTTTGTTTTGAGAGACAGAGTTTTGCCCTTTTTGCCCAGGCTGGAGTGGATTGGTGCAATCTCAGCTCACTACAACCTGCCCCTCCCAGGTTCAAGCAATTCTCCTCTCTCCACCTCCCAAGTAGCTGGGATTATAGGCATGTGCCACCACATCCAGCTAATTTTGTATTTTTAGTAGAGACGAGGTTTCACCACATTGGCCAGGCTGGTCTTGAACTCCTGACCTCAGGTGACCCACCTGCCTCTGCCTCCCAAAGTGCTGGGATTACAGGCATGAGCCACTGGGCCTGGCCCACACTGTTGTTTTAATTTGCAAGTCCCTGATGTTGTATGATGTGGAGCATCTTTTTATATGTTGATTTTCTATTTGTATATCTTCTCTTCTGAGGTGTCTGTTCTTGTCTTTTGCCCTTTTTTTCAGCAAATTATTCATTTTCTTATTGTTGAATTTTAACAGCTCTTTGTATATGTAGTAGTCCATTGTCACACTGCTATAAAGAAATACTTGAGATTGGGTAATTTATAAAGAAAAGAGGTTTAATTAGCTCACAGTTCTGCAGGCTGTATAGGGTTCTGCTTCTGGGAAGGCCCCAGGAAACTTAGAATTATGGCAGAAGGCAAAGGGGAAGCTGGCCCATCTTACAGGACCAGAGCAGAGGAAGAGAGGGGGGAGGTGCCACACACTTTTAAACAACCAGATCTCCTGAGAACTCTGTCATGAGACAGCACTAGGGGGATGGGGCTAAACCATTAGAATCCACCCCATGGTCCAACTACCTCCCACTAGGACCTACTTCCAACATGGGTTTACAATTCAACAGACCTGAGTGAAGACATAGATGCAAACCATGTCAGTATAGTTTGAATGACAGTTCTTTACAAGATATGTCTGCTTACAAATATTTCCTCTCAG